AATGTTATCCATAATTTGTCATGATCCACACAATCAAATGCCTTTGCATAGTCAATAAAACACAAGTAAACATCTTTCTGGTATTCTTTGCCTTAATCTCAGCACTAGTCATAATAGCAAAGAGATAAAAACAATCTAAGTGCCCATCAACCAAGGCAAGGATAAACAAACTGTGGTACATAAACACAATGGAATACTATGCAACCTTGAAGAAGAATGTAGAATCTGCAAAACATAGATGAACTTGGAGGATATTATGCTGCATGAAATAAGTCAATCACAGAAGGACAAATTAGTCCACCACTGCAAAAAATTAAGGAAAAGTTTATATATGGAAGGAAACTTTCTTTGTTGATTACCAGGGATGGGAGAGTGGGGAGGCTAAATTCCTATAATAGGTTGAATAAATAAATATAAATATACACCAAAGATTATTAGTGGTTACCAGGTGTAGAAGGGAGGGGGAAATGGGAAGCTTTTGTTTGTAGGGCATTGAGTTTATGCTAATGGTAGTGGACTATTTTGGAAAAGGATAGCAACAATGGTGGCACAACAAGAAAAATGTCATCAGTGTCCCTGAGCTATAAATGGGGAAGTGGTTATGTTGGTGAATGTCTTGCTCTATATGCTTTCACCACAATAAAAGTAAAAAAGATTAAAAATAAAAAGTAACTTCACATCTGATGTATTTGGCACACATTTCATGATGTATATCATTTGTATTTTGACTCTTTCTTCTAGTGTCAAATTTATCCATCTTTTCTTCTTATGCATCTGGATCTCAAACCAATTTTACAAAGTCTCCTTCCATGCCCAGGTTATAAAGGAATTTACCTACATTCTAGGACTCGACGGCAGGGAGTTTTATTTATTTATTTATTTTTAGTACACCTGTGGTTTAATTTTTCACATTGAGCTCTCTGGTCATTGGAATTTTTCTCATGTATTGTATGAGGTACGGTCCAATATTATATTTTCCTATGTAGATATCTAGTTGCCCAACATTATTTTTAAAGAATGTTCACCTTTACCCAAGGGCTTTGAGATACCACTTTTATCAGGTACTAAAGCTACATATGTACTTGTGTTGATTTCCTGAGTTACTTTTCAATTCCACTGATTTATTTCTCTATTCAAACCAG